ATTTGATGCTTGGTAATAGTGCTGGTGGTCAGATTCCCTTGAGACACCCAAAGAGTCTGGTCCCAGTCCGTAAGGGCTGCACTATCCCACCCGTGAGTCACCCTCCCTGATTCCAGGCTGTCAGGACATGCCATCAAGTCTGGTACACCAAAGCCACACAGGGCCCCATCAGCTGCTACTTCAAGCTCCCTGATCCTGGCATGGCCCAAAAGTCCTCCAGCTTGAGGTGACAGTGCATCCTTCAAGTCCATGCTTACTGCTGCAGCAGCAGCCTGCCCCGTGTCCAGCACAAGTTTGCCTGGAGTCAGTACTCTGCCCGGCTAACATTGGAGCCACAAGGCCCTGCTGTCCGGAGGATTAGTCTGCAATAGTATTTTGTATCTGCATTTCTTTATTTATTTTTCGATTTATATCCTGCCTTTTTCCTACAAAGGGCTCAAGGCAGCTTACATCATTCTCCTCCTCCATCTTATCCCCACAACAGCCACCCTGTGAGGTAGGTTGGGCTGAGAGTCTGTGACTGGCCCAAAGTCACCCAGTTGGCTCCATGGCTGAGTGGGGACTAGAACCCAGATCATCTGAGTCCCAGTCCCATGCTCTTAACCACTACACCACACTGGCTCTTTATTTAATGACTTTGCAACTGTGAACCTAAAACAAAGCAAAATAAGCTATTGCTGTGTTTGTTTGTTTGTTTGTTTCAGTTTTATACTGCCCAAAAGCCAAAAGACTGTTGTAAAATGTTTTACAACGTTTAAAACAGGGGTCTCAAACTCAACTTACCTGGGGGCCGCTGGAAGTAGAGTCTGGGTGAGGCTGGGCCGCATCAGGGGGTGGTGGTGGGCCGCTCATCCCGCGTCGCTCCCGGAGGCCGGCCCAGGTGCCGCTGGCGCTTTGAAGGCCGCAGGGCCCCTCGCCTGTGCCCTCCCGTCCTGGCAATTGGCCCGTGGGCCGCGAGTTTGAGACCCCTGGTTTAAAACAACATATAAACAAAGGAACAGAAGAACTGTAACACAATAAAACAATAAAGCAGTAAGCCAATCAAAACAACAATAACAAAAAACCCAACCAGAACAATAATGGGTTGGCACACAGGCACCAATTCTAAGCTGATACAGACATATCAGGCTGTCACTCTTTATGATTTATATAACAATCTTTTGCCATACAATAATTGTAAACTGCAATAGACTATGGTTAAATAATGCTAAAGATTTTCTATAAGTTGATCCTTTAAAAAGGCTTTCATAAACGTTTATAGTTGGAAGACATGGATAATAGATATAATTAAACATCATTCCCAAAGTGTTTCCTTATACTAGTAGCCATGCTGATCTGACGTCTACTGAAATGCATTCAAAGCTATGCTAGTTGTTTCTTCCTTTCTGTGTATGAATCGATTAATATTTAAATCAATATTTTTTCTTAATGTATTTTAACTAAAAATGTAGATGTTTCATTTATGGAACTTCTCACAGACTCTCTGTAGGGGAAAATATGTACTTTATTCCATATAGATGGTAGTGCAAGTGTTTGTTTTGCCAGAAGTATGTGGATGGGCATTCTTTTCTCTTTAAGTGTGAACTGAGACAAATTCTGTATGTGCTTGACTTATCCACAGTAACAGATCCCATTACCAAGGAAGAATCTCTGTGTGTATGTGATAAGCTTGCAGTGTTGTGAATGTACTCTTAAGGCCTCTCAGTCAGATCTGTGGGGTTTTAGAATATCAGCAAGTTAACCATTGCTGTACGTTCTCCATGAGTGATACATATTTTTCCACTGCCTCTTGGGAAATGAAACTCCCAGCAGCCAGTTGAGAGAAGAGGATGTTGAATGGTTGCCATCTCAGGTGCTGGGCTGTGAGGCATGTTTTCTTTCCCCACAGCAAAAGTGGTATGGAGGGGCAGGAGAGGACAGGGGCCTGCAGCCATGTTCTTTCTTTTTCTCTTGGATTTTTGTCCTTCTCACCCGTCTTGGTCTCTTGCTTTGCTGCCACTGTGATTTCCTGTTGCTGTGTAAATGGCTGTGCCACAGCCCAGTGTCTGCAGCCCAGGATCCTCCCATCTCTGCCTGTCCTCTGCCAGCATGACTGTGTCCCCTAACCAGAAGAGGAGCTACAAAGAAAACAAACCAGTGGGGAAGTGCCTATATTCTCTTTCAATTAATAGGCTAACAGCCATGTGTGCATTAAAAAGAGAGTTGAAAATAATCTGCTCACAGCACTCTTAGGCCTTTTCAGTGTACATCTGGAGGCACCCCCTGAGTAGCTCCCCATGAAAGCACTTGAAACATAACGCCCTGCGGCACAGTGACCTCAAATAGCCATTAGCCATTTCCAATATTTCCAAATAGCCATTAGCCAGAATTGCAGCCTGCCACTCCAGAGCTTCTAAGAATCCTTTCCACCTTCTGCACTGTAGTGCGGGAGCTGTGCAAATGCCACTGAGCAGAACTGCATAAATTACATGTGCATAGATGGGTTTTTCCTCTCATGTTTGTGCTTATGAATCTCAGAAAAGAAGGGAAAGTGTTTTGCCTTGCCATGTCCTTGCAAGGTTGATTAATGATCACTACGGTATATTAAAAACCAAAGGAGTCAACAGATAAGATGCTATCAGTGCCAGCCATATTAGCATGAGACTTATAATATATTTGAGGTAAAATGTACTGCATGAATATGCAGGAAGAATTGTCCTTTCAAACTGAGTAGCTACAGGTGACTCAGACCTAGGAATTACTTGTCTGAAGCTGCTTTGGTAACAAATGGTTGATATTTTTGGCTTATGCCTAAAGCCATTTAAAAGTTATATTACTGAAGACACAGAGATACTTGATATAAAGTTCTTTCTTTTTATTCATGCCTTTAATTTAAAAACAGTAACCTTTCCAGAGTATTTTTTAATGTTCTGTTGAACCTTATAAATGCATGCTGCTCTATAACAAATCGGACGCTGACACTGATATTGTCTTGTAGATAAACTAATTAACGTCGCAAGTTTGGGACAACATCTGCACGCTGTCATCTGCCAATCTATACAGTGATCTTGCTCAAATGACAGCCAAGTAATTATCTTTTCCTCCCATGGGCCTATTGTTGTCACTGACAGGGTGAGAGGCAACACATCTCATTGTGGCTCAGTGCTTTTGGATTCCAGAAATACAGACCAGGAGGGTTAACAATACAATCTCCTTCAGTCATGGCTGTCTTGCATAGGTTAAGCCAATGTTGATGTACCGACTTGAAATCACATATTACTATGGTATGAGGTGAAGCTGGGGTGGGAGGGGTACCTTGCTGTCTGAATCTTTCTCTTTTGTCCTCTCTGCATAATCTAGCACATGGAAACCTCTGTAAATTAATCAGGATGCTATAAGTAGGTTTAGACCCTGCAGATCGACAATGGGCAGTATGTGCCCACCTCTCTAGCCATTTTGGCAACCCTCAGTGCCACTGCTGAATTTGCTGCAGTAGCACAAAAGCATGAGCTTTGCTTAAAAACAAAGTGCAAATGGAGCATGCATCTTACTGAGAAGCAGAATCGTAATCCAGTAGCTTCGAGGGAGCCTGGCCATGTGCTTTGTTTTGAAGCAAAACTGCATCTTCTTTGCACCAGCAAATAATTTCAGTTGTGCACTCAGTGCTGAAGAAGACATTGGTCTTTAGGGTTCAAGGAGGCAGTGCAGTTCACTGATCCCTGAACATGGCTTGCATCATTCTAGAAGCTGAAAGCTGTTGTGCAGCTTACATAGGCTGTTAAGTAGAGCAACCTAAACAAGCTCCACAACCTTAAAATTCCCCATAGTTCATAAGATAGTAGAATATGGGAACATCATTGCTATACTCCCAGTGATTGGAAAGGAATTGTGCTGATAGACTTGGACGGTCCACTGTGGCCAATTTTTCAGGATCATGTAGATGGGAGTAAATGCATGCAGCAGTGTATGTTCCAGTATGTGAACTGTTTGCTTGTTTGTTATAGATCTCATACTCATCCTTAAGAATGCATTAATAAATCAAAATATAGCAAGTTAGCAAGACTCTTCCTACAGAGCCAATGTAGACGACCCCTTGAAAGGAAAGTTTAGTCCAGCTGCAACAGGAACAGGCCTCTGGTGTTATGCCTTCCTGCCTCCCTCCTTGGCTCTTTCCTGGATTCCTTCCCACAGGACAGTTGGTGTTTGATGGCCACATGGAGGAAGAGGGGATAGTTCAACTGGAACAGGCCTGGTTTCCTTCACCTGTCCCTCCTTCTGAAACAGGGTCGGCAACTGGCACAGAACCCACAAAGTAGGGCCAGCCCTACCATTAGGTGGGTTAAGTTAGCAGCCTCAGATGTCAGTAGAATCAGGCAGGGTGTTGTGTGCAGTGTGGGCTGCCCTGTGCTCCCAAGCTAGTCCCCTGCCTTCAGGTAGTGTTACCAGTGCTCAGGTAACACTCAGCTACTCACGATCAAGTCAGCTTTTGCATATAGAAGGGAGAGAGGCATCTAGTCCTTTGCCTTCAGCCTGGCCTGCCCTGGCCTGCCTAATTGTAATTTATCTGGGCCTAATGCAGCTGTTCATGAATTGAATTTAACGTTACAATCCCACAGAATAGTCAAACTGTTGTTCTTAGCATCTAGGAATTATGCACTTCTAGGCTGTCTTCTTGATTTCCCTAAGATGATGATGATGATATCATCATCATCACTATCATCATTTCATCACCACCACCACATAATTGCATGCATTTACATCAGCAAACATTTTGCTAAATGTAACTGTAGCGCCAGAGAAGGGAAGCAGAGAAGTTGTGAGTGAATTTCCCCCCCCCCCCCCCGCCCGCCCTCTGCTTCGTTCTCTCGAGCTACATTTCTTTCACAGGTACATTCACAGTTCTTTCACAGGTACATTCACAGTGATTTTCCTGCTCTTCACTAATTTTGAGTGTTCAGGGACACTCTGTGGAACAATGTGGGATGGAGCCAGGCAAATGCTCTGGAGCAGTGAGTGATGACTCTTAAGAACAGCTTTGGACCTGAGGGAGCAAGAGCCAGCATCTTTAGGCCCAATCCAGTAAGACTTAATGTCAGATTTAAGCCTTGGTTTACCTTTTGCAAACTGCCTAAATGCTAGACAACAATTAATGTTTGGTAACACTGTACCTGTGAAAGAACTGCATATGTATGACCCCAACACCTATAGACAAGATTGTCTCATGGAGCACCAAGCTCATAGGTTTACTCTCTTTAAAATGACTATATGATATGAAGGTTAATGTGGGATATGGGAACAGGAATGGTTATAGTAAATAGACTACTTTTTTTTCCCCTAACTGCTGTAGACACACATTGGTGCAGAGACTCTGTTTTGTTGGTTTGTTTGGTTCCTTTTACAAACAAGAGGTGCTTGTAATTCCTGTCCAGCAGTGCCATTGACAACAGAAGATATTTTACTCCTATTTTATTTGTCATGGCATTAAGGTATATTCCTAGCTTATCTTTTTGCAAACATCTGGCTCCTTGACAGTATTCCTACTGTGCCACTTCCCCTTTGATTTCTGATTAGTCAGCATGTTGTTAATTGGGTATTCCTCTAAGCTGGGAATGCTGATTATCAGTATTTGATTGCTGTCACTTTTGTGGCAGAGCTAGATTTGCATGAAAAGATCTCATACTCCTCTGCTGTAAATGTGGATACCTCCATTTCTGTTAATTTTGGAGTAGACATGGAAGTTCTTCCTCAGGGAAGATCTATCCAGATGTTTGTGTGCTGCTTCTTTCCTTCTGCAAAATGAGAACATCATTAACTTCCTATTACTGGTAAGAGTCAGTAACATAGCTTCTTTATTTTTAGAAAGCAATAGAGATTGTGAATTCTCTGATCACTGTTGGTTTTTGCATCCAGAGAAAGGATATGTTTTTCTTAGAGAAAGCTTTTAAGAACCATGTTTTTCCTGCAGTTTTCAATTCTAAAAGAGAATGAAAAGTGGATATACTGTAATTTTCCAGTTGTAGCCCTTTGATATTAGGAAGGGGCTAATGGTGAGGGGCTATTAATTCCCTATGTATTTAACTCATTTTTTGAGGGGATCTCTCCTCCTTGCCTTCCTATACAATGTTAGGAATTGCCATTGCTAACGATATTGATTAGCACTGACTTTGAGCCGGTTTCTTCATTATTAAGAACTAGCAGAGCTTGTGGCTTCTATGATCTCTTGGGTTTGGGAAAGGATGCATTTTCCTTGGAGATGGCTTTTAAAAACCATGCTGTTCTTGCACTTTGATCTCCACAGGGACTTCCATTCTATTAGCATATGAAATAACTCAGCCCATGTTTCAAAATTAGCCTTAATATATGAAGTAAACCTTTTTTAAAAGGCCTAAATGACCACATGGTTGCTAAAACGGGTCTGGATGATTACATTCCTAGCCACCCTTGACTTTGTAGGGTGATTATCTCTGGGATTGGAGCCACTGGTTAATAGTTTTTTAAAACTAGGATGTGAGATCCATGCTGAATTTGACTACTTAATAGACACTCGAATACCACCCCCTTATAATTTAAACTCACGTTAAACTATTTTTTCCTGCTGGCAGACAAAAATATAGGAAGTGGATACCATGAGTTTTATGTACATTCGGCTGGTTCTTCAGTCTGAGAGTTCTTCGTGACCATGGCAACAATGGCTCTTTCCCAAGTAATATGTCAACAAGTGAACTGCTTGTTGAGTATATCATAAAGAACACTAGTCATGTCTTATGAAGGCACAACCTCCTGCTCATGTATGCTGTGGAGGTATGACAAAGCAGAAGCCCCCCCCCCCAGTGTTCGCTGCGTTAAAATCTTACGCACAGATATCAATAGATATATGAGGGATATAACATTTTATTCAATTGAATGGCTAGATTAATTGATGGAGACTATTTTAATTGATCAGAAAGATTCATGTGATGAATTGCTTAGCAGTTTAAAAATATTTGTTGTTGTTGTTTTTTAAGTACTTCTAAAACTGAGGAAGACAAACATCCTGCTAGAAGAGGCATTGCATACTGTTTAAGGGAGTATAGGAAACACCTCTTAGGAGATTGCCAGCAACTGTTGAATACTGCCAGATATGGAAAGGCACAGAACTACACTTGCTGGGAAGAATGAACCTTCTGGCTCTGGGCTGACTGTCCAACTAAATGGGCCACGGGCTGCTCTTGGGCGGGAACAAGTATAGGAGGGCTTTAGTTCTTCGTGCTGGTTTGCTGGTGCACTAGCTGAGCTCTGTCTGCGCTCTGGTATCCACATGTTTCTGGTTCTTCAGCTTCAAATCTTAGTTAGTTCTCTGAGTCTGCCTTTGGGTTGGTCTGCTGATCTTGATTACCCACCATCCCGACTTGTTCTTTGATCCTTGCTCCCACATCCAGACTTCTGTACACACCATCCCCAACTAAGGTTATGTCTGTCCCATGAATATATCATCTAAAAACAAATGCAGACTTTTCTTTGAAACCATTCTACCTTATGCAGTTTTATGCAGATTTAATTAGTGAATGAGCTATAACTCATGTGATTAATTGATTAATCAGCTGAAAGTCCTAGAATTTATATTACAGCTTGCTTCCTGGTTTTCAGCTTATTTTGGGTTGCAAGTATTATATACATTCTCTCCACCATCAGTGCTAATTAATTTTAATGTTTCCTGGCTGACTCTTTCTGCTATAGGTACAGCACAAGCTATATTACCTTTAATTATCTACATGAAATGAAGTAGCTCCAAGCACTTTTGAATATATTACCACTCAATATTTTAATAAGATTCAGCTCAAGAAGTGTTTGTACAAAATCATTTGTGTCATTTTAAAAGAAGAGAGTGGTGGAGTTTATTTGAAAATAATGAGACAGCATAGGTAATGGAATTAACAGCATAGGTAAAAGGCATCAAGGGCAATTGATTGTTCATGCAGTACTTAGGTGGCAAAATGTTGTATTATTCCAGCCTAATTGTACATTGCATACTTGTGAAGTATCACTCAATACTTAAGTGCTCCTAGTACAGGTCTCAAAATGAAGCAATGTGCATTTTTATTGTGTAACACCCAGAAGCCCTTTTAAAATATCTCACATAGCTTTCACATAATCATATCTGCAAAATCTTTGAGGTCATTGTGTTATTCCAACATAACCTAAAAATTCAGATAAGAAAGTGATGATGCGCACCCTGTCCTTCAGGCCTGATATCTTCTCACAGCCCTGAAGCCCCTTAGTCCTCTGTTCAGCTCATAGGACACTTGGTGACCACCATTTTACCCATGACTCCCATGTTTGGTCAATCTGTTCACCTCATGACAACTGTGCAAAGGATGCAGGCCTACTATAATAATTTGAAAATAACTACCTGTGTTACTTTTGGGTGAACAAAAAGAAGGAAGCTATTGATAATGCTGGAATATATTATTATGAGTAGGTACATCAAAAAGACTGGATCAAAACTGCATTTTCTTCATGGAAATCAGTGTTCTCAGATATGTGTTTGTGAGTGAATCTATGCCATCATGGGAATCTCTGTTTGGTTTCATTTTATTAACTACAGTGTAGAAGAGAGTAGCAGGAGCCTTAATAATGCATATTTTAGAATGCATTCAAAAACAGCTTCCACCTAGCAAAGAACGAACTCTTATGTGTGGTCAGTCATACCCTCTTAACATTACTAACCTTCTTTCTTCGAAGAGCTGCTGACCATGTTCATTCTTGGAAAACTGCATGAGCTCATGCAGAAAGAACCTTCCCATTAAGGCTGTGATGAATAATCTCCTCCTGGACAAAGACTGCCATGAAAAGTAACTGAAGAACTAACTACAAGGAAAAACCAATGGGAGGATATCTACCTATCCACAGAAAAGCCCAAATCATCAACAGCAGCTTCTGGCACTCTCATGTCAAATTTCATCTCAAATAGCAACCTCTGCATCGTCTTGGAAAAAATCTTGTCATACTTTTTTATTCTCAGTTTTCTTTTAAGGTAAATTGAATATATTGTAACTTCAAGTTATATTCCCCTTTGATATCAGGAAAAGGGTGATAATGGTGAGGATCTGACTTGTATCGATTTTGGATCTCTCTTCCTTGCCTCATTACAAGTAATTAGGAATTGCCTTTATTTAACATACTGGTCAGCACTAATTTTCAGCAAGTAAAATCTTGTTGCAAAGCTTCAAGGTTTGTTAATGCTTAAATGTTAGATTTTTAACCTCTGGAAAAAAAATTCCCCTGGTTCTTGCAACAGTAGCCAAAATCTAGGCCTTCAGACCTCTGTCAGATTAATCAAGTCCATCATAGCAGCAGAACTTATATAGTATGGGTGTCCCAAGTTACAAAGGACTTTAAGAATAAGAGCTGCATCAGAGAATAAGAGCCTTTGTGAGTAAGCTGATTCATGAAACCATCTCTTTGTCTTCCATCTTGATCAACTGCTGTTTGTTATGCGACCCTGCCTTTGTCAAAGTTCAGCTTCTCCAGGAATGTGGCATTTTATTTAGAGTACCAAGAAAGAATGTTGATATAAAATATAAGTGGAGGTCTTGTGTTTTGTTACCTTTGCATGTAAATTGCACAAAGGTCAGATAGAATAGGTAGGTGTACATCATCATCGTCCACCGTTCCTTTCAAATGATGAATCATGCCTTTAGCAAGCGCTCGTAAACCACGTCTTGTCTCATAAGCATGCTGGCCTCAGCTTTGCTGAATGAATGTTCAGATTTAATATCAAAGACGGAATGGAAATTTGGTGACCAAAAGCAGACTTAACCTAGTTTTAAAGTGCATCAGGGCCAATGCCAATGCAAAGACTTTCTCAGAAAAGTGAGCTTCCTTGTTTAATCTGCAAAAGACTAGACTTATTGGGCCAGATTCTGTCCAGCCACAACTTCCCCTCCCTGGTTCCCATCCACCTAAAAAAGTTCATTCACTTTGTTCATTCTTGGAACTAAATCAGATTCAAAGTCCCTTCTTTTTAGGTCTGAAGATGGAAAGTGGCATTTTC